TAGAGTCCAAATCTGCCTAGTTTGTGTTTTTAGGCAGATTTGGGCGTTTTTAGCTTGTTTTGAGTCTTTTGAGTTTGTTTTGAGTTCTTTAAGTCTAGTTTAGTGTTTTTAACTTTGTTTTTATGTTTTTAAGTCAGTTTAGAGGTTATTAGCAAGCCTTCCTAATCCCCGGTCCAGAACGATCCCTACTTACATTCTTTACTACAATTGTCAACAAGAAGGTTTAATTTGTGTGCTAAGTTAACTTTCGCATCAAACCTATCATCCATAGTTTTACCCAAATTCGTGCATATTTCATTAGTTCTTTAATTTACTTGTTTTGTTTTCAATTTCGTCAAAACCAAACCCCCCCCCTTTACATTGTTGAGTCATATTAGTTAGAAACTGATTTAGTTTGTGTTTTTAAGTGTTTCAAACTAAGTTAAAACCAAAATTCATCCAAAAGTGTGTTTAGAGTCCAAATCTGCCCAGTTTGTGTTTTTAGGTAGATTTGGGCCTTTTTAGCTTGTTTTGAGTCTTTTGAGTTTATTTTGAGTTCTTTGAGTCTAGTTTAGTGTTTTTAACTTTGTTTTTATGTTTTTAAGTCAGTTTAGAGGTTATTAGCAAGCCCTCATAAGCCCCGGTCCAGAGCGATCCCTACTTACATTCTTTACTACAATTGTCAACAAGAGGGTTTAATTTGTGTGCTAAGTTAACTTTCGCATCAGTAAGAAAATTTTAATTATCCTCATCTTCTTCTTGGATAGTGCTGTCGCGGGTCAGCTGTCGGGGTGGTGCAACACATCAGTTGGCACGGGCCAGGAGTCGGCTCGGCATAGGCCGATGAGGTGTTGTGGCAAAGACCCCTGCTTGGGCTACATGGCTTGGCTAGAGCTAAGGGCAGCTTGTACGGCTGGGGCCGCGGATTAAGGGGCTAGGGCGTAGTGCTAGGTGAGCTGCATGGCTCATGTCCTTTGGGCTCTTGGACCTGGCGCGAGCCAGGCTGGTGATTAAGAGAAATGAGGAGGTCGTGGGCCTTATGAGCTGCTAGAATGCTAGGCATGCAGGCCTCTTGCCTACTGGTCTGAGAGAAAAAATGAAGGAAAAGCCAGTATGGGTTGACCTCCCCTGCTAAGTACCATGAATGGCGTTGGCTGCTTAGTTCTTTTCACAAGGAAAAATGTGTGATGCTCCCGATAAAAGAGGTAAAGAGGATCAAGACGGATGCATCGGTTCGTCTAATTGTTGTCGTAGAGCCTATTATGAATGAAGGTGGAAAGAAGAGATCTTCCCTGCCTGCTTAAAAGATGCCGGTTGAGAAGAAGCTGAAGATTTTCTTCGCTGCTCGTGAAGGTCCGCCTACTGCAAAGAGGACTATGATTGACATGACTTCTTCTAATGGAAGAAAAATGAGGTTGTTAGATCTGAGCCCGTGGCGTCTGTCATGTCAAGAATAGCTAGTGCGATAACTGATAGGATTGCTCAGCGTTAAGGTCCTGTTATGCCCCTAATGCCGAAATTTGTACCAAGGTGTCCGTTGGGAGCTAAGTTCATTTCATCTTTGGAGAGGCTTGCTATTATGAACAGCAATAAGGTGGACTTTGCTGCTAAAATGGCGCTAAGGCCCACTCATTCTGCTGCTGAGATTGATTCGCCTGCTTGGAAAGATGAGACTGCTCGCGTGGGCAGCTGTGAGAAATCCACTAAGCCTGCTTCTGGGGAGGCTGCTGAGATTTATGCGCTTTTGAAACCATATCTGCTTGAAGACATGGATGCTTATGCCAAGTTTGTCGATGACGTTAGAAAGGTTGTTTACCTAAATTCCTTTGCGAAGCATACAGCCGAGTATAGGAAGACTGCTCTACTTGTAATGATGTAGAAGACGACTATTTTGGCAGCTGAGCCTATGTTCCTTGACCAAGAGGATACCAAGGCTGCCAAGGAAGTGGCAAAGGTTGTGGCAGCCGAAGCTTATTCTTCTGCCGATAAGATCAAGAGGTTGGAATCTAAGCTCGTCGCTTTGAAAAGGTCTAATATCTCTACCCCCATTTCTCTGCAACTTGAGACCACTCGCAAGAGATCGTTGACTTGAAGATTAGGCTTGAAGCGATCCAAGTTAAGTATGAAAATGTAGAGAATGAGATCGAATGTTACATACCTCATATTCAAGATCTTGAGCGTGTCGTTTATGAGCTTCATTCTGCTGCTTATGCAAAGGATGAAGAGTTGATTGCTGCTTATAACCGAGTGATCCACTTCAAGAAAGTCGTTGATAGGCTTGAACCTCAAGTGTCGGAACTCCAAGGTCCGTTGAAGATCAACGAAAGTTTGAAGAAAGAAGTGGAAGAAATGTAGCAAGTCCATGTTGGTCTGCTCGAGGAGAACGAGCAGCTGAAAGGTGAGAAGGCTAGGCTTGAGGCTTCTCTTGTTCAGAGTAGGGGTGGGCACTTAAAACCGAAAACCGAAACCGAAACACGAACCAAATCGAACCGCACCGAACGGTTTGGTTTTGCGGTTTTGAAACGGTTTCGGTTTTGAAACCGAACCGCAACATAGAAAACGGTTTGGTTTCGGTTTTGGCTTTTGAAAACCGCACCGAAACCGAACCGCACCGCAAATATTAATAAACATTTAATTAAATGTCCATATTAGATTTCATGTTTTAATTGGTCGTTTGTTAAAATTCATACACTTAGTATGGACTCAACCACACTAGAATATCATCATTCATCACTTTCTTTTGTTCATTAACTTGAAGGACCTTTGTTATTTTATACCATCACACACACATATATGTACAAGGGTGGACTAATCTTGTTATCAAGAGTCGAACAATGATCTACTAAAAGCCACTCATTTGAAGCATGATATCACATATTCTAGTATGAAAATTTCGCTCACGTTTAATGAATTCAAATTTATTCAACTTGTTTTATGAAAAATATTGTAAGGGACACCTTTTTGTTGCACAAACATGTTTTAACATCACAACTACATGCAACATGCTAATTGTTTACATAACAAATGTCATTTTCCTATTACTATTGGGAAATGCTTTTTAATATGTTAAATTGCAAATTGTACATTTTTTCTTAAAAATCAAACCGAAACCGTTTGAAACCGCACCGAACCGAACCAAATGGTTTGGTTTCATTTTGGTTTTGGCTTCAAAACCGCACCGAACCAAACCGCAAAAACTTGCGGTTTTGGTTTTGGTTTCACTCAAAACCGCACCAAACCGAACCGCGCCCACCCCTAGTTCAGAGTCGGGCTAATTTCTAGCTAGGTTATGTAGATCATCTCTTTGGTAGGCCGTCTAACTTCGAGTTTGCTGGGAAAGACTTCGAAACCTTCTCTATTTCTCCAGAAGACTTGTTTGCCTGTTCTTTTTAAGCCTTCACTGGTGAAGTAGTCGGAGATGTTGGTGCCCAAGCTGGAGCAACCGAGGGTGAAGCGCCGGATGGTGCCGCTGTTGAGAATGTCGCGGCTGCTGAAGGTATGGCAACCGAGTAGTCGTGGAGTGTCCAAGCTGTTGAAGAGTAGTATTCTAGGTAGTCTTTAGGATTTTCTTTGTTTCCCTCATTGTTCTTTGCTTTGCTTGAACTCATTCGGTCTTTGCTAGTTGTTTATCAATTTTGATAGAAAATGTAATAAACTTGCTTCATTCGCTTTTCTCCATCTTCGCTTCTTTTGTTCATACCCTAACCTTTAGACTTTATAGACCAATGGCAAGCATGCTACTTTTCTATAAGTAGACATGCCGCGTAGCCTATGCAACCGTTGGTGTTGGTGTAGAATTTTGCAAAGTTGTTAGCCATAGGGTCGGCAATCGGACGCCTTATTTACAGAAGCAGACAAGTCCTTGTGACCACTAGGCTGTTCACTTTGGCTTCATCAATAGGTGTTGGCGTAGCAAGTATCACAACATTTTAGGACTTGGTGTAGGTCGTTCCGCGCTTGGCAAAGGTGAAGCTTATCGATTACGGAGCATGTCGGCAGTGGATAAAGCTTTGTATATGCACACTAGCTTGTTTAACCTTTCACAAGAATGTGTGGTTGTATAAGTCTAGCACGGCTTTACTACTCGAAAGGTAAGCCGTAGGCAGTCTTCCGAAAATCGTAGGTTGTCTTAGTGCACTCGGTAGCAGCTTTAGGGTTCCAGGGCAGTCGTCTATCGGATGTACTGTGTAAGGGCCTGGTTCTCCATGGATTAGGCCAAGAAACCCAAAATCCTTCAATTAGCTAAGCCTTAAAAAAGACTATTGTGGCTACTTCTAGGAATCCCGGTGCAAGTCATCGTGCATCTAGTTATACTAGGGCAGCTCGACTCATCCACATCTGGATATTCAGAGTGTAGAGTTTATTCTCCCGTCATGGAGAGTTGACCCATGTGGTGTCGGGGAATTGGTTTACCCTCTCGCGCTGGAGAGTATGGTGTCCCTCGAGGGGCGCAATTCCTACGATGAGTTCCTAAGAAGGGCGCGATCTTTTTTTTAAGTGCATGAGTGATCAGTTATTGTAAGTATGCAGTCAAGCCAAGTTATGATTACTTCTGAATTCCTCATTGAAAAACGAGTGAAACGAACGAGAACTTAGCTGTAAGGTAGGAACTGCATAACAACTGGATAGTCCTCGGCTTGTGAGGTGGTGCCCGTCGAGCTGCTTGAGTTTTCGGGCTTTGCTGTAGCAGGACGTCACACATGGTACTTCCTCATATTGTAAGTGTTCCATTGCTTTTTGATCTTTTTGTCGTTTCATGATGGTGAGGGTGTAATTACTCTTGCCAACTACTCTGCTAATCTTGTACATACCTTTCCAGATGGGATCCATCTTTTTGGAAGCTTCTTTGCAAGCAGTGATGAAGGCTTTTCTTAGGACTAGATCTCCGGGCTGGAACTGCCGGATCTTGTCCTTTTTGTTGTAGCTAGAGAATAGCTGCTGCTGGTAGGCTGCGCACAAACTTGAAGTGCAAATTCAGAATCATACACTTGCAATCAAAGATTGAAAGCACAAGTGAATTCCGACAGAAGGAAATGAAACCAAACATTTATTGAGAGCTTGAGAGTTGTTCTAAATAAGCACACATACAAGAACAATTGCCTTGTTTTGGCAAAACACATTCTGGACATCTCAAAAAAAAGAAATACATACGACCTACGATTGCAGCAGGGGTTCTCAATAATTACTGCACAAGACGACGACGTTTATATATGAACCCCTTATTGAAAAAGGGAATAGAAATTTATAAATCAACACTGAAAAACTCTTTTATCTTCTCATGGGATTACAGATAGACCTCAATACAATCCCCCTTCCAAAATCCATGTATCAAAGAATTAACGAACACTTTGCAAAACAAATTCATGTGTCAGATCCAGTCCCTTTGTATCTACACGCAACCAACCGCCCACGATTGCTCTAACCGTGAAGATTTATCCTTGAGAACAGAAACTGTTTGAAACAACTTTACCTTCCTTCGGTCGCGCACTTGGAACTTGGATCATGTCTTGCTTTCTGTCCAAACAGCTTTTCTACACAACTCACTGTATAGCGTGCGTACCTCAGTTACAATCCAGCCCGCAAACTTCTAGTACAATGCCACCTTTGTTCACAAATGGGTTGATTCGGACCCATAGCAGGGAGAATATGGATGCCAGAAGAATTGACCACACCACAATGATGGTGGGAAGTCTCTCTTGTCTTCCCACCAAACCTTTTAGGAACGGGTAAAGATGGACGATGACCCAAATGGCAAAGAACAGCCTACCAAAGAGAGGACCCCATGTTTCGTAACCATTGTTGATGGCATCCGAAACTCCAACTACGACTCCAATTATGTTTATGATCAATAAGCTCATGGGCGGGATCAAAAGTGACGTCCACTTGAAGAGGTATAGGTCGGAAAACTCTCCGTCATCTGCTGCTTTGGATGTGACAGTGAAGTTTGTGTTAACACCACCCAAAACCTTCAGCAGACCCTGGATGAGTGCGAAGAAGTGTGATGACGCACCACCAATCACCCAGAACTGTTCGTTCCTCCACCAGTCGTGGATGCCAACATGTCCCCACTGCATCTCGAGTATGCTCGTTGCAGCAATGGACAAGAAGAGAGCCATAAAAAGGATACTGGCATAGTTGCTAATCTGTTAATCAGAGAAAGCCAATATTAGCTGAAATCTAAAAGTTTTGATACATATGTACATATAGAAAGAGGAAATTACCTCAGGGACAATAAATTTCCCAGTAAGCAGACAGACAGCCGGCAAGGAACAGTAGGCAAGCAAGGGGATGGATGTCAAAGGATAAACAACCGAGTTTATATAAGAAAAGCGCTCCAACCATTTCAAACCACATCCGTATCCATACCAAATAGGGCAATGCCTGCTCAACAAAATTTCAACAGATCCCAAAGCCCACCGAAGCACCTGGTGAAGCCGATCTGAAAGATTAATAGGAGCAGAACCCTTGAATGCAGGTCTCTTGGGCATGCAATACACAGATCGCCAGCCATGGCAATGCATCTTGAAGCCCGTTAGGATATCCTCTGTAACAGAACCATAGATCCACCCAACCTGGAAAATAATTAAGATTTAGAAAACGGAAAAGTGCCAAACATCAAATCTTAAGCACCTGAGAGTCAATCATTAGTCTAGTTTCTGAGATGGTACAGCATACCTCTTTTCCCCATTCTGATTTATCTTCATAGCCACAGCTAATGACATGGATGGCTTCCTTCAAGAGTGATGCAGAACTTGTTCCCTTTGGAACTCCACCGTCTTCCATAAGTGTTGAAGCAATGAAAACTGGCGACTGTCCAAACTTTTTCTCAAATTTTATTTGGGGAATCAGGGATGACTTTTCATTATCTATTCCTGCAAAAAGTTATAGTAGCAATGTAAATATCTGAGTTAAAGACAACCAACAGCATACAAAAATCAAAGTAATAATCCACATTCGCAAGTATATTGAGCAAAGGAAATTAAAGATTAATCTGTAACAAGAAAACAAACAACGGTTAGTCATGCAAACAACTTTTTACCTTCAATTCCCTCCTGAATATTTTCTAGTGCATGTATCTGCTTTGAGGTATCCTTGGTCTTCTTCTTTTTATCATTTGACTTGGATTTCTTGTTCTTCTTTCTAGATCCACAACACATGCAGCACCATTTTGGCCAACAATTGCAAGTCTTCCCTGGTGGTTTTTTCTTGGTAGGAGCATCATATCCGTAGAGTGCCTGCCTTCGGAAGACACACCCGGTTCCGACATAAATGGGCCCTTGGATCCCATCTAAACCTTTCATATTGATCTGCATTCAAATTATGAAAAAAAATTAGCTTCCACCAGAAAGAATCATGTTTTTGAAACTGACTCTCACACACCTACTTTTAGAATAAAATAAACAAAGAAAAAGGCCCTTACATCAAAGAATACAACGTTGCGATTTGAGTATCTATCATGAAGATCAATCCCATCAAATCTTTGAGGAAATTGTACATAACAGATCTTCTTTCCTGATTGGGGGTCCATCATGAAACACATTGCTTCACGAAGAGCTTTGCTGTTGTTGATGTAGTGATCACAATCAACATTCAGTATGTAAGGAGCATTTGAGATGATTGCTGATACCCGCACCTAGATTTTGCCAACAAGTAAATAACAATTAGACAAATGAAAACATAAGAAAGCTCAGAGAGAGAGAGTTCTGAGAGAGTTCTGAGAGAGTTCCGAGAGAGAGAGAGAGAGCTACCAAAGAATTCATAGCTCCAGCTTTCTTGTGGTGATCAAAACCCGGTCTCTTCTCACGAGACACATAAACAAGACGTGGTAATTCATTTCCTTCTACATCACGAACACCATTTTGACCAAGGAAAACCTGCAAAAAAAAAAAATTGATTAATCTTAGGAATACTCAATTATAATGTGTAGAAGGGCCTGCAAAACATTTGGATTTGCTCTTCAACATGAATCTATTAATGAACAGCCCCTCACCTGAATCATCCCTGGATGATCCCTGACATTATTTCCAGGCCATGGAGTCCCGTCCTGCATTGTCCAACCCTCCTCAGGAACTTTCTGTGCTGTTGCAACCAACAAATTTATCCGAACTTTGAACTCTTCATACTCCCTCTGTACCAAAAAAATGACAACACCCGATCAGAGACGTCATCATCCAGCACTTAACCAAAAGTCTCACTATAATGATGCAAAGAAAAATTATGAAAAATCTTTTTCTTTTTTGGGTATCGAAAGCTCAGAAAAATGGTTGTCTTTCATACAAACAGTTGGTGACACCTATCCTTTTTCATTTTGGATTACTTATCCAAGAAACTACATGCCAGGCAAGAAACTTATCAAACAGTACCACAGACAGATGAAGGAGGTTGTTAACCTTAATGGCTCGACGTTCCCTGACAAATGTCGGATCAACTTTGTCTCTCAGATAGTCAACTTTTTGAGCAAAATACCACTCTGGGGCACGGGGTTCAATGCTGAACTTCTTGCAGAATGGAACCCACTTTCGTGCAAACTCAGATGTCTCTGAGAGGGCTTCAAAAGTGAGCATTGCAGCACCATCATCTGATACATAACATGCAACTTTGTCAACCGGATAATCTACGGCAAGGATGGACAGGACCGTGTTTGCTGTGATAAGTGGAGGTTCCTTCATAGGATCAACAGTACTAACAAACACATCTAGATCAGCCAACTCAGATGGCTTCCCTTCTTTCTCATACCTGAACAAATTTTTTCACACTAGATTAGAACAGATATTTCAAAAAGCTGCATCCAATGAGAAACGAGAGAGGGGGACAGAGAGAGAGAGAGAGAGAGAGGTGGCTACCTCAATGATAATCGATCAAGGTACGTTTCTCTCTCAATTGGATACCACTTAGGAAACTGATCCAATATCCATGACATGGCAAACCAAATCTCACATATTATAGAAGTTAACCACAGTCCATAGGCATTGTTGACCGGGTGGAGAATTCTATAGTGAAAAAAGAGGCCAAGAACTGTAAGACGGAGTAAGATGACCATCCTATAAGGATTTATCTTGCTAGAAGAAATAGGCAACTTCCTCGAAAGCGGCTGCCTGCCTTCATCCATCCTGTAAAAAAGGAAAGTAAAATCATCAGCTCTCTTTGGTTGAAACACAATTATAACACTTTAAGTAGTGACGTAGCTAAGTTTTAACCTTATGTCAAAAAAGACAATAAATATTGCACCATTTGGATTCTCCACTCACATGCATGGCAGTAAGTTGTTTACATCGAAAACTTATTTCCAACACCTAACCATTATCCGTTTTGATTCATATCAAGTAACAACATATTCTTCTCTCCATAATTGATGTAAAGACGAAAAATACACAAACAGTAAACTAATATAACACGTAACCAATCTCTAACACCTAACACCTAACACCTAAAGAACACAATTTCACACAATAAGATAACAGGATAGTCACAGGAATATCAACATATTCTAAAGGAACACCTACTTTGGTAAATCGGGATCATCTGGTTCTCCATTATTGTCTCCACCATTATTTCCTCCTTGGTGCTTCACCACTTGAAGTTTCTCATTTTGCTTCTTCTTCCAGTCCTCCATTCTCTCCTTCCATGCAACAGTTCCATAACCATACACGGCTAAGTCTTTCTTAGGATCCATTGGCCTCGGTGGAACTGCATCATCAAGGCAACAATCAATCACACTCTTAAGAACGATTAAAGCCGACTCAGTAGCCACAAAATTGTTCTGACTTTATTGCACTTACAGGACATAGAGGAATCAGAAGATGGCATTGGATGAACCCGTTTTCCGCGACTCATAAATGGGGGAACAATAAGAGCATGCTTATCAGAGGCAATTCCAACATCCTTCACCAGATAAAAAAAAACAACAAAATTTTCAACTTATCAGCCACGGATCAATTATTGCAATCGCTGACAAAGAGAACATCAAGCAGTTAAACCAATTCACCTCTTGGCCATAGGTCAGCAGAGGGATCTCGGAGGCAATGGAGGCAGAGTCAAACTCTGCTGGTGTGCTAATCCCCGAACCGTTGACATGCGAACCCCTTCCAATGTTAAGGCGAGCAGCCAGCACTGCCTCAGCAATGCTGTGAGGATCTCTCCTCTCACTGCTAGCAATATCAAACTCATTCTCCAAATCATCAATGTCATCCTCTTCTTCGTCGCCTTCAACTCTTGGACTCCCTATGAAAAAGATGAATCTTCAGTACTCTTTTTCGAGAATCACCGTGAATGCTCGGCACTAAATTTGTGAAGACGGAGAGAGACTCACCTTTGATGCGCTTGTATCGGGTTTTGCATTGCGGGCAAGCTTGATTGCCCTCGCGCCTTTCATACTCATAGCAAGATCTGCAAACGGGGAATGCACATTCATTGCAAGCAACAAATGGCTCCCCATCCACTGTAATCTCAATCTCATCTCCACAGATCTGGCAAATCTGCCCACTCAGTTCTTTAACAGATGTTACCTGCAAATTCGTAAAGTGCCAAAACGTTATCAATCTCTGTCAGATCAGGAAGATTAAACAATTAACAAAACAACAAAAACCAAGAGGGCAAAAATCCCCCATCTGCTAGCTGATTTCCTACAAAATCAACTGTTGCAGAAACACAGTTGCAAGCTCTATAGAATGAAAATCCATTTAATCCCTTAAAACCCTCAAAACTTTTGTAATTGCAGCTTGTAAATCTGAGAACTAGCAAGAGGTGGAAAATGCCATAAACCCAACAGAAGAAATAGAAGGAAAAATCCAATGTATTAATTTCAGGATCTAACAAATGCTAGAGAGAGATAGAAAGGGAGAGAAAGTATGAGCAAATGGGTATCTGCAAAATGTAGAAAATGTACAGATTTGGAAGGCTGTTAACATTTTGCAGTAGCAGAAATTGAAAGGTTGCGAGAGAGAGAGAGGACTTACTCTTGAAACCTCATCAGCATTGATGAGAACAAACTCATTCCTGTTGTGAGAACCTGCAATAAGTCTTCCTTTGGTATCCATAGCTGATATCCCTCAGTCACCCTACACAATCTGAGAGCCTTCAATCTCTACCCAAATAGATAGAGAGAGAAAGAGAGGAGAGAGAGAGACCCACTTCACAGCACCGCTTCCTCTGCCTTTCTCATCACTCAAAACCCCCCAAAAACAGAGCTTTACCACCTCCTCCTTCCTCTATCCCTCTCTATGTATGTTCTCTATCTTCTCAGGCACCCATTACAAGAAACAAAAACCCCACATTACACAATGAATAAAATACACAGCTTTGCAGACAGAGAGGTAGAGAGAGAGAGAGAGGGAGGCAGAAATAAAGAATGAGTGAATATAAAAAGGATGAAATTAAAGAAATTAGAATAAATAAAGAAAATTAAATTAGAAAAAGGGGTTCTGTTTGTGAGCAATGAATGATTCTTTTCTTGAGAGAGAGAGAGAGAGAGAGAAATGTAGAGAGAGAGACCGAGTCCTCTAAGAAATTTGCTGTCTTGAAAAGAACACTCGGTGGCTTTCGATCTGTGACACGGTTTGCTGCCAAATTATAGAGAGGAGAGAGTAAAAAGATAAAAACTTTTTTTCACTTCTAGAGAGAGAAAGAGGGAGAGAAGAGAGAGAATCTGAAAGTGAAAGTGGGGAGTTGAAAATTCAACACTCAAAACACAGAAGGGACGAGATAGGGACAGAAATGAGAGAGAGAGAGAGAGAGAGAGAGAGAGTACATTGATGATTATTTAACTGGATCTACTCCCTCCTAAATTCCTAATTAATTAACCAGCAAAACTAATTCTCCAAAAAGTAAATAAATAAATGGGTTTTAGAGTGGACCCAGATTTAGATTACGGAGGACAAGGCAGCAGTTGTGGTGGTCGGGCCAAGGGCGGGGGTGCCCCACCGGAGTGTCGGTGGCGCAGTGGAATGTGGAGGAGAGTGGGAGAAGGGGTAGTTCTGTAAAATAACACGCAGAAAAACAAGAAAAGAGTTGTTGGGTTTTTTGTGTGTACGTACGTAATTTGTCGGTGGCTTCGGTGGATGTCGTCCGATTCGGTTCGATACTTTCTCTCTCTTCTCACTCGCTCACTCTCTGTCGGTCACGGTCGATGTGCTGTCAAATGAGAGAGAAAGAGAGAGAGAGAGTTCGGAAGTTGTTCTTCGCAGGAGGAGAGGGAAAGAGAGAGAAGGAGGAGATGGAAGAAGCAGCAGATCCGTCTCCTCTTCCGTTTCACAGGACACGGTAGTACTTGGGTGAGTGCAGCGGGTGCCCGAAATACGGAAAAGTCCGGTAAAATATCGCGATAAATTTGATGAGATTCTGCTCGGCTGTGTATGAAGGGTTTACAAAGTGGTGGCCAACTATTTCATAGCTGTCTGTCTACCTTCCTTGAATTATTTTTTATTTATCAAAAACATTAAAAAATATTTGGTTTATGTTTTTTTTCTATGCTTGGTTAAGGTCATTTAGGAAAAAAAAACATACCTAAATAAGATTAAATTTTATTTTGTGTTTATGTGAATTGAACTCGAGGACATTTTCGGCAAGATAAAGACTTGACCAAATTAATATTAACAAAACGAGAGAGCCAGTCTATTAGGCTCATAGTTAGAAAGTAAATTGACAATTAAACATAACGCGTCAAATTAACAGACTAAGCATTCTAAATGTAAGTTCAATTGGCTTTTATATCAACGCTTGCAAGGAGCGTTATGAATTAATTTGCCCATCTGGTATAGAATGCGGAGTTGGCGAGCTACTCCCTAGTGAAAGCCAACCTTGTAGCACCATGGGGGGTCGAGAGTACGAGTATGAACATTTATGTATTAATGTGTAGTATTTATGTTAGATCGGATGAATTGAAGAAAATCAACGAACTGAAATTAATAAAAGATGTGTGAGAAGAAAATTTGGGTGTATGGATAACATATTCCATATGTTAATGTATATGTATAACAGTATATATACACATCTATTGTTTCAAGTGACAAAGTTGGCTTGCATCAATTGTTTAGTCATTTTCCAAGTATCATTCATGCAAAATCAACAAAGTCAAAATTGTTTTCGTCATTTGATTACATCATTATCATTTTGTTTCAGTGTTTTTATTTTATATGTTAACTCTTGAATTTTGAGCAAAGTCACACTCTCTAAAACAATAAACCATGTAAGAAATAGAATTAAAAAAAATTAAAAAGCAGAAAAATGTTTTTACATGCACCCTAACAAAATAAATAACAAATGATGAGTTGATTGGCGTTCACGTACGGATAAAATTCAAGAATTTATTCCGAATGAGAGTATTATTTTATGTTTATTCATTTAGGGTGATGGTGGAGAGACTAAAATTTTAAATTATTTTTTGTAAATTACATGATGTGACGATTAAATTCAGCTGTACACTTTTTTAAGTAAAAATTTACCAGTATAAAGAGATAAATGTACCCATTGGTTCCTAGTTGCTTAAAGAATGAATAAGGTAGTTAGTAGATTAATTGAGTTGTATACTTATCCATTTACCTAATATGATGGGCCATTTACAAACAAATCACTCAATATTCTATTTTATTGTTAAAATTAAACATGAGTGCTGCTATGCATACTCACTTGTTATATTTTTACTTACTTTACAACTAAAATATAGATGATAAATTAGTATATCGTGATGAAAAAAAAAAAGACAGGTGAATGGACACGGACACACTTTTAGTCACTTAAACAAATGTTTTGAAGTAGAAGAAAAGTTGAGCCCGACTCATTGTTACTACAATATAAATGCTGAGTTTTGTTCTTTTATATAATTTGAATTTTTAGTGTTTTTCATTGACTTCCGTTCAGTATTCTTCGAAGTGCATGTTGTATAAATATATATTAGGGAATGGCCTTACAATAACGTGTGTAAAATTTTGTGCAAAAAAACAAATATCTCTATATTTCTTTTAACTAGCTATACATGTACGGATAAAATATTATTATTGGCACTATAAAATTCTTATTGCGCACTCTAAAATTTCTATATCTAAAATGAAATATATACTTGCAAGGAGTGCACAATAAAAATTTTGAAATACTAATAATAGTTTCCTAAATATATTGTCCTTTGTATTATGTATATTGTCACAGCCCGTCCCGGAATTATAAACTCCGAGGACGTGAAATTACAGAAACGCCCTTAAACGAGATTAAGGTGCGTAAATTTGGTATTTGTTTTACCTAAAAACATCCTAAACTAGGGTTAGATTTATTATTTTATGTGTTAATATTTTGTATTTGGACTTTAGGTAGGGTCCTACCTCCTGAATTCCTTCCCCAAAACCCGTAGGTTGTCTCTCTTCCTCAACTCTCCTTAGTCACTCTCTCTCTCTTTCTTCATTTCAGACTCTCTCATTCTCTCTCTTACTCTCGAACTCACTCGAACTCACGGCAAACACCAAGAACAACCACAATTCTACACCAACGTCCAATCTAAGATCACCATTGTGATCTTGGGAACTTCACGAGCACGGGGGTATAAGTTTCAGGTGAGTTTCACTTCGAGAAACCCTAGTTTTTAAAGCCCCGTGATTTTGTACTGTTCACAAACTTAAATATGGTTGTGTTTTAGGTTAAACAAAGATCACCACGAGTCTAAGGAAGTCCCAAGGAGGCTCGGAATGCCTCGTTTGAACAAAATGGACGTCGGGATCGTCGGGTTCGAGTTTGGCCGAAATTGAGGAATTTTGGAAGGTATGATCTCGTAGTTTTTAGGCCTTAAAACCCTTCCAACGTGTTAGTACATGTTAAATGCTTCATTTTGGTGTAAAATTCGAAGAATTGGACGAAAAACGAAGGAGAAAAGTCAATTTGAAATTTTCCAGAAACCGGCGAACAGTCGCCGACGACCGGCGACTCGCCGGAGAAGACAGGGAATCTTCCGTCAAAACTGACGGAATATTCTGACGCCGTTAGTTAACTTTAACAAAAACCGTTAGTTTTTAACGGAATATTCCGAGAATATTCCTAACGCCGTTCACTGTAGCCGTCAGTGTGCCTGACACGTGGCTGCCCGTGGGCCGCGCGTAGGTCCGTGCCACGTCAGGCGCGTGGGGGCGCGTGAGACCTCCAAAAATTATTTTAAAAATATGGGGATGATCCTGAGGTTGTGTAGGTCACGATGGTATATTCATATACCCAATTTGAGCATCGTATGAAGAATTTATTACCTAGTTTGGTTTAGGTGCGTTAAATGTGCGTTAAATGATTGTTTTAAGTTATTTCACTTCTAGGTGGATCTTATATCGAGGACGAACACATCCAGGGGCGTCAAGGGGGTTACGACCCGGCGACATATCAGTGAGTGGGCATTGCTTTCTATATATATATACCTATATACTCGATTTCCCCAGAAATCAAATTTAAATTAAAAGTATAGTGAAATGAAATGAAATATGATTTGATTGCCATGCATAGAATGTTATGAATATTATGAACTGTCGTATGATGCATATATGTAAGGTGGTGCTGTGGACGCACAGGTAAGTATTTAATTACTGTTATGTTGATGATGAGATATATTGAGCTCATATCCTGCACCATGGTTTAGTGCTTATAGTATTCACCGCATCGCACGCTCGGCTTGGATCCAAGTAGATGCTGGTCGTACAGTCCACGCGGAGTGGGTACGACGGGCCAGTCGTAGAGTGTTAGTGAGATTATGACTGGTGGGTGACCTTAGGTTATTGTATACAGATGATTGATGAGAGAAGCACTAGAGCGAATATTACCATGAGTCATTCAGACTACATTAGGTGGTTCCGACTTATGTGCAGAAGGCCGGACAGGTCACGCGGAGTGACTCCGGCAGAGTGAGATTGATAGATGTTGAGCTCTAGGTTCAATCGTTCAGGGTCATTAGAGGACCTCCGATTGATTATTTCTTTTACCTGATTTATATTATGTCAATGCATTCATACTAAACTGTTGAAATTGACATGGTACATTCTTATTGAATCTGTTATAAGATTGATGATCGAGACAGTTGAGATATATATGCTATATACTATTTTTCTGGGAAAGTATACAGGTTTTCCAAAAAGGGGTTATAATTGTGGATTTATGAAATGATTTGGAAAAGCTTTATTTTCGCCCACTCACGTTTTCTGTTTTTCGCCCCTCCAGGTTCTAGTTGATAGTTGAGGCGTTGGTGGCCTACGAGGACTGCTTCGGCGTTCTGACAGACTAAATAAATGTAGGATTTCACCCGAGGGTGTTGTAAATTAGTTATGATCCTACTTGACTGCACCTAGACGCTTATGCTCTGTTTATGTTTGTTTCGTACACTCTTAAGCACATAGAATGCTAGGTTGTAAATAACTGCATTTAGTGGTTTTCGTTGACTCGTATTTTTTTATTAAATTGTTTCCGCTTGCGTTATGGCTACGTCACGCTCACGTGACGGCCAGCACGTCCTAGTCTTCGGGTTAGGGTGTGTCATATATAGTATAGTTTTAATGAGTAATTATTAATAACTAGTTGACAGCCGCAC